TATGAAAAATAGGGAAGGATATATTTCAGGTTTTTTACACAGTCCTTCCAAGACATGTTGCTGAACTTTAAAAATAAAAAATCCCTAAATCTTCCTAACTCAGCAGAGATGTTTTTGCCAGAACCTTCTTCTCACCAGCCGGTCCTTCTTAAATCTGTAACAATCCAACAGGTAGTTAAAGCAGTCTCAACTAATTGTAACCAGAACTTCTGGCTTCTTCTGAGCTATTGTTCTGATTAGGCACCATGGCCAAAAGCTTCAGGAGGTGGATAGGCAAAGTAGTCAGTGTAAGAACTCTAAGCAAGATCCATGGGCTTGGAGTTTTTAAAATTTATTATTTAACTGCTGTAAAAGCAGGCCCCGTGTCTCTGCTGCAGGTGTGTCTGCCATGGGCTGGCTCATCGCTGGGTCCAACTCAGCGTTGCTCCGTTGACTTCGTGAGGAGAATGGATTCAACTGATACAAGTTGAGGGTTTAACTCAGATTTTCTCGAAGCACTGAAGTGATAAAACTTGTACAACTTCACACCACCATTCTAACATCAGCTTTTCCAGGAAAGTTTTTTAAAAAAAACACAGCCAAGCTTGGGAATCCCTGGGACAAGGGACTGGGGGAGAAACTATCTCGTGTTAGGCACAGTAAAGGTATTTGGAAAGGCAATGGTGCAGTGAGCAGCCATCCATCCTCAACACCAGAGTGGTGGAAATGCCATTTTCCTTCCCCCTTGATCCCTGTGTTTGAACCAAGTACTAAAAAAGGTGTTTCATATTTTTGCAGCAGTCAGTACTGGAAATATTTTGGTTTCTTACAGGTAGTGACACAGTCTGTTTTGGTGGTACACATGAAAACAAACAAGGAAAGAGACGGAAAGCACAGGCAAATCCTCGGATGTCAGGTTTTGCTTAGGCTATAAAGTGGAGGAGGCAGGGATTTGTTTGGATTCTTGCTCAGCACACACAGCCAAATTATTGACGAGTTTTGGAGTTGAGGGAATAAAATATTTTGCCTAGGGAAGGGTGAGGGATTTCACTTTGCAGATATGCCACTATTTTACTGGGTATATTTATTTGTCTATCTCTTGCTTAGGAGTGTTGGGTAGGTCTGCTCCCTAGGATTAAATCATATCCCAAACCATCCTGGCTTTGTGACAGTACAAACATTATTGGATTTAGTTCCCTTCTGCTTATCCATCTCCCATCCTCCAAGATCCCCATTATTATTATTATAATAATACCCACAAAACTCCTGCTCTGAGATCAGAGGAGTTTTCAAGTGCCAAAGCAATCAACAAAACATACCTGGTCCTTTTAATCTCCTTTAATCCCATCTTGTGGGACTCTCCCAATAAATGATCACGTATCCAAAGATTCTTTCTCTGTAATGACATTTGAGTTTTAGCTCACAAATGTCATGAAATTGTCTCATATATGAAAGAAGATGTACTTGGGGCCTTCTTACGCCATCAATAAAATAAAAGTTTGGGTTGAAAAATTATCTTACGGAATAAAATAGAATAACAAAAATCCATCATTATCTGTGTTTCAGAAAAGGATGGTGTTTTGTTTAGCATTTTAGTTAGAAATGATGTATGACTACATCATAAAACACTTATATTAAAAAGATCTTCTCACCCTGAATTCAAAATATATATTGTACTCTCTTATCATCCAGTCATTTCAGAGTGAAAGTTAAAAATGCTCATCCTGTGGTATTAGTCACTGCTATTATATCTTATAGCTGATGTATTCTGCTAATACTTTTACTTAAAGGGGCTTTTACTTGGGGCCCATGAGCACAGACATTTATTTTGTTATTGAAATGGTGATGCCATGGGTGGTGGGTTGGTGTTATCTTGCCAAGGCTTGGTCTGCCCTTTCTGCTGGTTTTGTTTGGTTGGTTGGTTTTGGTTTTGTTGTTGTTGTTTTGTTGGGTTTTTTTGTGGTTTTTTTGGTGGCATATGTTGAAACCCACTCAATTTTAAAGAAAATCAAGTGTTAGCAGAATAAAGTGTGGCCCATGCCATGGTTCAAAGTCTTGAGGACATGAGCTGTCCAGGAGTCTTCACAAAAATCCCTGTATTGGGAGCAGGTGATATGACAGAAAGCAGGACTCTGCAGCATCCTGGTTTGATGTTTTAGAGATGAAAAGTTTCTCCTGCCTGAGGCATAAATTTTGGCTTGAATGAGAGATCCTAACCCTAAGGCGAAGATGCTGGCACCCAGATTCCTGTTACCGTTTTGAACCACACAGAGCAGAGCCTCATAACTGACTTCATCTCGTCCTAAGTGAACACCCTCACCACTAAAAAGTGAATGTTGTCAGGAAAAAAAAAAAAAAGAAAGGAGAATTATTTTCTGGTGGCAGTTTTTTTTCATTTGTTTCATTTGGGTTTTTCTCTAAAGGGACGTGGATCCATGCAGAACATCAGCTTCTCTGAAAACCCAAAGTTTTACAATGATGGGGGGTTGGAAACCCCTTTCCTACACATTTGATAAGAGATTGTCTTAAGTTGTGAGAGTGTGAGGCAGAATTGGGTTAAGTCAGGCTGGTCACTTTGGTGGGAAAGCAAAAAGTGGGAAATGTGCAGAGTAACTAAGCTGGACACCCCTCTCTGGCCTGCAGAACAATTTACTGAGGGGGTGGTTAAATGGCACAGATTAAGCTCATTAATGGTTCAGATATTTGCTTGGTTTACACAATGCTGTCCAGCAAATTATATTGATGCTTGACAGAATTATTGTCATTATTTATTTTGCTGTAAGCCAGATTTATAGATATTTGTAGCTTTTGTAAGACTAAACATAAGAAACATTAATAGCTTTACTAATTATATCACTGCTTTAGAGATATAGATAGTGATAAAAATGCCAAGTAAAGTGAGCTAGTAAAACATTTTAAAGAGAATTTTAAAGTGAGCTACTGATTGATGATCCCTTGGGTCAGTCTTGAGTTTTGAATGTGAGAGTGATGCTTCCCACCAGGGCACGAGGGCCCTTTGCCTCCATCAGGTCTTACAGCAGAGATGAGGAAGAACAAGACTTGTATTGAACGACTGATTATTAAATCAGATTGCATAATCTGAAAAATATTGAAATCCTATAATAGCATAAACTGAGGTTGAACTTATTAAACACAACAGGGTTGTTTGTTTGGTTTTTTTCCACCTTTTCCATGTCCTCAACCCCTCCTGCTCCTGGATGGTTTATCTGCACTTCTTTGTCTCTTACATGCTAAAATTGCAACCTCTTTAGAGCGGGAGCTGCCTCCTCCCTCTCTGTCATTACAAATATGAACAGGCCCTAGCACAGCTCTGATGAGGAATTCAGGCTCCTAACAAAAATATGAATAATAATTTCATGGCTGTTAAAAATAAATAAAATCTTTAATTGGCAAGCAGAGTCTATAGAGGGCTATATACAAATTAAAGGTGTGCTTCTGCCCAGCTGTCAAATGAAAAATCCCTTTTCCTAGCTATCGATCCTGGTTTTGCTGTGAGCACCCTTTTAAGGAGGGAGATAATGGGTGAGAAAAGAGTTAATAAATGTTCAGCCATTACTGCAGGCATGAATGGAAATCCATCATCAGTTTAAGTACTGGATGGGCTCTGGATGATGATCCAAGCCTGCTTGACCACCGTCAGTGCCAGTGGGAAGAAACCCGCAGGGCTCTGGGAGCTGTGATCCTTAGGGATGCTCCTGGCTCCCTGCTTCTTTTCTCCCATGTGCAGCACTGCAAAGCCCCCAGTTTTATTTTTCTCTGGGTTTAGTAATGACCTGCTTGAAACTCCCTTTAAGCCATCGGGAGGACTGGCAGTCTCTAATGGCCTTTGGATCAGGATTGCGGCGGTTTTTCCGTGGAGTGAACGACCAGTGGGAATTTTCTCCCAGGTGCGGGAAAAAACAATTTTCCTGCTTTTCTTTTCCACCCCCCACCCCCACCCCCCCCTTGCTTTGCAATTTCTGATTAATTTGTCTTCCTAACACATTTGTGATTAGTGTATTATGCATGTGCCTGGGAGGAGAAAGTTTGGCCCCATCTCATCCGTGGTGCCATCCCACTGCTGTTTGATGGGATGAACACAAGGATGGTGGATTAATGGGCAATGCTTTAGAGCAGACCAAGATGAGCTTGTAAAAAAGACAGGGAATGAGATCCTGAAGCCACTAAAATCCTCAAAGTTTGGGCTGCCTCCTTGCAGTATGACAACAGGTCAAGCAAGTGACAGTGGGATTTATAATCCTCATTGGGAAATCAGGATGAGGCGTTACCACCGAGGCTGGTAAAGCTGGAAAAGTTTGGCACTGGCACCCCAAGGCTCACCCACCCCATGTCAGAGCCTTGGCCATGCAGAACAGCTCAGAAACCTCATAGGAACAGGCTTTGGTGTAAGATTCCTGGGGTTTCTTTCTAGGCCTGCTGTAAATATCACAGGGGCTGTTCTCCCTTTGATCCCAAACTAGAGATGAAAGGAACAATTCACACACATTTTTGAACCATAAAAAACATGTGGCTTGACATTGGTTCCAGAAACAGGTCAAGATGTAGGATAATCTTATTTTTTTCCTGAAGTATTTGAACTGTCTCTTCTCACCATGTTATGAAGCTGTGCCATAGCCTTAGAATATAAACAAACCAGTGTGCTGTGGGATTTAATTCTCAAAACAAGGGTAAGAGGAAAAGTCTGACTTAGGTTAGCAGAACTTTCTGCTCAATACTGAAACTAAAGCCAGACAACTGTACCGCTCCCTGATTTCTTTCTTCTCTAATACAGTCATTGTTCAATTGTTGTGGGCTGACATTATGGAGAAAAAGCTTCATGTGTTTCTTCTAGCTTGGAAAATTACAAGGTAACAAATTATTTTATTGAGTAGTCCTACTCATTACTACTACTGCTGCTGCTACTACTACTACTACTACTGCTGTGTATCCTACTTTTATGAGCATATTTTGGACCATTGCTCTTTACCTGCACTCAGGTTTGTGGACTTCCTTCACTTCTCTTATTGCCAAGACACCTCTTCAACCTGCAGGTATTTTAAACTGCTTAGAGGCCCCAGATGTGGTCAGCTGTCCTAAAAAGATGACATCCACCAGCCTGTGCACAGAACCCTGAGTTTGCAGGTAAAATCAGAAATCATATTTGCCCTCTGATGTCCTTCAAATGAAATTATGAAAAAATTAGGAGGGCTGAAGTGGTTTTATGGTTGCCAAGGACTACCAGTCCTGAAGTTCCAGAAGGGTAGTGACTGCACTAATGAAGAATACAGCCATGTTTAGCTGTTCTTGCACCAATAAGGACAAAGGTTTGGCAGTTGAGTGAGATTATGGCAGGACTAGCCAAATAATGTCAGTATTTTTTACCTCTATGCTTTTTCCCCAAAAAAGGGAGATGTAGCATCTTTAATTAAATGTTATATGAATACATTCCAGATAGACCCAAACACAGGGCAACTGTGTTTCAGAAATGCTGTTTCTAGATTTAAAATGTATTTGAAATGTAATTTAAGAAAAAAGATAATGGAAAAAAAAAACCCCTAAAATAACTCGAAACAAGCTAGAATATAGTAGCTCATCATTACGCTAATATATCAAACAATATGAGCTTAGCTTAATTATCCCCTTTGAGAGTTGAGAAAACTAAGCACAACCTTCAATTTACAGCTGTTTGGTGCCGGGAACCTGAATTATTATTTGAGAAGAAGGGGGAAAAAAAAAAGTTTATTTATTGTGACCTACACTCAGTTTTTATTCATCATGGAAAATCTGTATATTCACAAATGAGGGCTATTCATCTGCAGACTGCAGCATTCTTCAGCTGTCCGGGGCTGCATCAGCCGCACTTCTTCAGCTTTTGTGTTCATCTCGAAGCCTCTTCATCCAAATTGTTCATCATCTTGATGGCGGAGCTTTATCTTGCTCTAGTGCAGCTGCATTCCCCTTATCCAAAGTGCCGAGAGATACAAGGGAGAGGGAGAGAGCGAGAGGCAGAATAGAAAAGAGAAAAAGCAATGGCCAGTGCTCATATGAGGATAATTTGTAGTTTCTCAATAATAATAATAAAAAAAAAAATAAAAAAAAGAGGACAGGCTAATTACTGGCTTAACTAGGGCAGCCTGTGGATCCTCATGTCAAAAGGACTAGCGTAATTATTTGCCATCAAAGCACATTCATATTGTGGTACAAAAGAAGGGCCTTTCGCAAATGGATCTCACTAATAAACAGGGCTGAGAGGAGCATTATGTGTCTTCCTGGATGCAAGCACATTAACACAGTGACATGGAGCATAACTCTCAGCCTGGAGAGGGGGGGTGGAGAGGAAGAATGATAATTATCCCCCCTCCCCAGCTTTCCTCTCCTTTTCCTTTGTGTTGGGCTAGCAAGCCGAACGCGACCCGCTGGAAGGCCCAAGGCAGGCTATTAGTGACCTCTGAGCATTGACAAGGTGGCTACACTCTTAAAAGCCCAGCTCTCCATGTCAGGAGGGTCGCAGGAGCCCGGGAGAGGAGCTTTAAATGGTCCAGCAAACACTTCAACCTTAAAGACACCTGGAAGGTCATGACCAATTTGATGTAGATGAATCTGGCATGAAGAGGGCTCTTTTGAATCCACGGACAAAAGTTTTTAGTTGTTGGTTTGGCTTTTTTTTTTTTCTTTTTCTTGGGTATTTTTTTTTTCTTTTCCACATTGTTTTTTGCACAGATCTTAGTGTAAGGGATGCTGGAGAGAGAGACTTGATTCTGGAGACCACTCTTGCACTCGCTGAGCAGATGTGGTGCAAGGCGGCCTCCAAGGCTGCAGCTTTCCATGAGGAAAAGTAAACACGTTTGGAAAGAAAGAGAAGGGACTTGGATGCACCTTCCAGGCACGTCTGGGAGCACTGATGTGCTAACACATTTCAAACTGAGATATATTGCTAAACATTTGTGTGTATCTATAGGTTTATATGTGAATGCAAAGAGGACTGTTTGTTTCTGGGCTTTTTTAGTATTCCAGCTACACCAGGCTATTCCCCACCGATGTCCACTGGCAGCTCCTGTTCCTTGTTTGTCAGCCATGGAATTTATCAGTTGGGATGGTGTCTGAGCGAGCCCATTGCTCGTGATGGGTTCAAGGGAGAGGTGCTGGGAAATGTTCGGCACCACAATTTGGTTTTCCCAATCTCCTTCCTTAGAGCTGTACAACCTCAGCATTCAGGGGCATTGGCTGTACTGATTTTCCCCAGGAAATCCCTCCTGCTCCTCCTCATCCTTTCATGGAGAGGAGACTGCAATAGGGGTGACTGGGTTCTGTGCTGTAAAACAGCTCTGCTGGCCATCAGAACAGTAAACTGGGGTAGTCCTTTCTTGTGACAGCCTTGCCTGACAGCACAAAACACGGCAAGAGCAGCTGGCAGGAGGGAAGGTGTTGGTCTGAGTCGGGAGTGACATGAATCCAGGTGTGCAGCCACATGTGACTGGGATAAAAGGATTTTGAAGCCCAACTCGTCCATGCAACAAAGCCCTGAAAGCCAAAGTTGTTTCTTTCCCAGTGCTCTTCTAGGTCACATCTAGGTCCCATTACAGAGAGGAGTGAGCCCCTTTTCCTTGTCACAGCACTTGGGGACATCAGTGTCCACGTCACCTTGAGGGGCAGGAGGAGCCCAGGTCTGCACACACCTGTTAGCCCTGCTCACCCCAGGAACAGCTCATGGAGACACTGGGCTTGGGAGGAGAGTTGCCAGATTGTCAGCCTTACACACCCAGATTAGAAAAATGAGCAAATAAAGTGGCTTTAAAATTTGTTCTCTCTCATTCTTCTTGCTTGGTAACTTTGGAAAGGAATTGGATGCTTTCTCCATACTTCCTTTGGCAAGGAAAAAGAGTGGTAAACATGGGTTTGAAGGGGGAGAAAGAAATCCAAGAGGAGGCTCTTTAGCAGAGATCACAGAAATCTGATGTAACTGATGGTGAAATAGGAAACATTGATAATACAGGAATAGAGACACACTCCCACCCAGGCAGGGTTTGAGGGCTGGGCAGTGCCTCTGGGACATTACCAATGTGGCAAAAAATTCCAGATTTTCACCCATCCAGGATCTGTACAACCCCTCATCCCCAGCATGGAGTGCTGGAGGGATGGAGACCTGCTGGAGCAGTTGATAGCAGCAGTCCTCCACCCAGGAGACACAAAAGTGCTTGTTCTTCTACATTTCCTTGTCTCTGTAGCCCTACAATATTTTTTTCCCCTCTCTCCCTATTTTCCTGGATGTTAGAAAACTCTGCATACAGCAAATTTTGCCTTTAGTTCATAGGAAATTGTAAACAGGGACTCAGCAGCGGATTTGGATCCACTGAGGTATGGATATTCTGGAGTATAAAGAACATAATTCATACCATTTTAAAATAAATATCTCTAGGACAGGGATTAAAAAAGTTACCTTTATAAAACTGGGAGAGTGGGGATTTTTGTATTTTTAAATAAATCCAGGTAAACTTTCCTGGATTAGTTGTATCCAGCCATGCCAAGGACCCAGTGCTGATATTAGCAATAAAGACAGTGTTATTAGTAGCATTACATCAATGTAAAGAAGGTTATAGAGTTAGCGTTTGTTTAAAAAAAAATCCGTTAATGGTGACTTTTTGCCATTAACTCACTCTTTTGCAGTATTTTATGCAGTGTTTATGAACCTGGGTATGTATTTCTAGTGTTGCCAAGAATAATCAAAGACAAATATAGCAGTTGCAGGGTTTCTTTCCTGATGAAATCCTACTGCAGCTTCTAAACCCAGAGCTGGCCTCCGGTAAGGGACTGTGTCCTCTTGGAGTCAAAGTGTGCTGCTTGAACTTGCCACATAATGCTTTCAAGGTTGCTTGTCTAAAGTGACTTAATTTGTACTGCAGGAGTAGCCTTGTACCCACAAACACGCCAGAAGCCGCGGCGAGCCAGGGCAGCAGGGTTATTACTAATTTTTTATTAAAATCCCTTAGGCGCACACAGAAGGCCCAAAAGCAGCTTTAATAATAGACAACATACAGCACATTTTTCTTGTATTGCCATGTAATCAAATCTAAAGCTTCTGTTCACTTTCTTTGTTTTACCTAGAGGACCAGCTTCCAATTTAGTTGTGGCCTGCACTAAACTGATTTTTCATTGTAATTAATGCCTACTTTGGCCTCAGCCACTTATACAACTTTCCATTAGAGGTTTGCAGCCATCCGCAGAGAATTTCACCAAGTTACCCTCCCGATCCTGCTACACTTGCAATTTTTGTTAAAGTGCCTTTTTTTCCCCCCTTTTTACTTTATTATTATTTTGCAAAGAATGTTTAAATTACTGGGCCAAATAGGTTTCTTTTTCCCTTTTATTTTTCTCTTTTTTCTTGCCCCCCCTTCCCCCTTTTTTTCTTCCCCCCTGCCTGCTGCACCTATTAAAGTGGTTGGGCAGGAGTCCAACTGGAAGGAAAGCCTTTAAGTGATTTCAGAAAGGGCTAGTGGAACTTATTTAGGCCTGGGGTCTGCTGTGGTTAATTTTCAGTCTGTGTTTTGTGCTGTCCATTTCCTCTGAAATACTACCTGGGGTTTAAGGTTCCTCAGCACAGGATGTTAATAGGCCTCTGCAAACATTCAAAAGGCAGCTTTCCCACCACTAACCTTAAAAAGATTGTGGCACCGGGCCCAGGGTCAGATTGAATAGATGAAAAAGTATATGCTGTGCTTTTGCTTGCTCCTTGGACCTTTCCCTGTTGGCTTGCCTGACATTTTCAGTGACTTTTCTTAGTACCTTATTTTCAGCGTGCTTCCTAGAAAATTCTGCTTATTACCTTCTCCTATCCCCCAACAGCATCGCTAACTCGGGCAGCACAACAATTCGTAGCCAAACCTTGCTGTCCTCTTGGACTTTTCCCTGGCTGCTGCTTCCCCTGGCCCCAATGGACCAGCCAGGCCCCTCGGTGTGTCCTATCACCCAGGGATACCAGGATGCTCCCTGTGGATCTCTGCTGTGCCTCTCCCAAGGAGAGCAGCTCTGCTGCAAGGCTAAAGCAGAGCTAATGATCAATTATGTGCATCCCTGCTACCCTGGCTTTCCTCCCTGCAGCAAGGAACGCAGCCATGGGAGCTCCGGGGTAGGTGTGCTGGTTTTTGGGCACTGGAGCCACACATTTCCCAATGTTTGCATTCTGGTACCAACATTCTTGCCTTGCTGGGGCGCTGTTCCAAAGGAGCTGAAGGGTGCAGACTCGGTGTGCACCCTCCTACACGCTTTAGCACCTACACTCACCTCTCTTCTAATTGCACCTGAGAAATGAGACAGGCACAGTGCCAAGAGGTGCCTGGTGTCCCCTGGTCTGAGCTGGCAGCTGGTTGGTTGTACTGGCTGAACGTGCTGGCCTGATGGGCTCTGTGCTACGGGGCCAGCTCTGCTGGTCTTTATGTGGGTGCAGGAAAAACAATCGGATGAATTTGACTGGATTTGATTTAAGGGCTCTCTTGGGTACCATCGGTGGGTTTTTACAAATGTGTCCTGTTAGACCTCCTGGGACTGAAGAGGAGAGGTGGATGGGTATTTGGGATCACACAGGTCTGCTCTGTGCTCTTACTGTGCCAGATATCCCCTTCTGAGTGTGGGAAGAGTAAGAAACACGTCTTTATTTTATTATTTTTTTTCCCTAGAATAGTAGTAGCTCTTCCTTAACTGACAGGGGACCTAAAGTAGCATTTGAGAAGAGTACATGGAGCCTCCCAGATGTTCCAGGTGATGGCCACAATCTGGGCCTTGAATCCCAAACAATGGACTCACATCCCTACCCAAGCCAGCTGCCCTTCTGGCTTTTGACTGGTTCACAACCAGACTCATTTGCAAGCTCAGTCCTTTGTGGCAGCCCTGGAAACCAGATGTGTTCCAGGTGAAGCAGAATGAGAGGGAAAACCAGACCAATGGAAAGACAGAGCATTATGAGCTCTGTGTGAGGTGGGGTTGGGAAGTGTGGATACACTGAATCCGGGATATGCGTGGCCCATGTTCTGTAGTGAGGATCTGCCCCTTTGCACCCAACGGCACAGCTTCCAGGGATATTTCCTGCAGGAGTGACCTGCAGCACTGTGCCCCCCTGCAAGTACAGGGGCTGCAAATCCCTCTCTGTCCATGTGCCTGCGTGAGCACCCCCACAGCGAAGCAACTGATCTTGGTCTAAACACATTTGTGCATCTCTGCCTGACATTTGCTCTGTTAAAAGGTCAGGCTTCTGCAGCAGAGACAGGAGCCGTCTTCCTCATTATCACATATTACTGCCAATTTCCAGTTCCAAAGTTTCCAGTGATTTCTGCTGCTGCTCTGGCTGGGGAAGTCCAGCACAAAGTGCCGTGAGCCTGGAAGCTCTGCCCTGAATCATGCCAATGATGCTCAGTGAGAGAATCAATGACCATTTGGGGAAAATCTGTGGAAACCCAGTGAATTTCTTGCTGCAGTAAGTTCATTGCTTGCAGTGACGAGTTGGGAAAGTATGTGACAAATTTAACTTAGAAATGCAAGTCTGCAGGAAGAAAGGGCTGTTCTGCAAAGAGCCATTCATATTTTTCAGTCTTCCCACAGAAGTGCTGCTCTCAGTTTCTCTGTAATCTCTGATATTTCCCAATATCAGAGCGCAGTGCTGGCAGAGGCAGAACCTGGGGCTAAACTTCAGTCTGTGTTCTTGCTCAGAGGAAGTGGATTCTGGGATCTCTTTGGCTTTTGAATGTCTAGAGGCCAGGCTCAGAAGCAAAGGAGAAGGGAACAAAAAAAGTTGTATTTTTCTTGTTAAACGAAGGTCTTGCTGATGGGAAGACACAGATGCCAAAATAAAAGTGTGTGTGACACTGGAGTTGGTCAGGCCCTTTAGGAGTTCACTGGGGAGGGTTGTTTGCCCTCTGTTTTCCATACCACCTTCCCTCCCACCAGCCTCAGGAGCAGTTATACTGATCTTTACATGTAAAAGGGGCTCCAAATGTCCACGGGGTAACACTGTTATGGAGAGACTGGATAATGTTCTTGCTTTTTGCATTTGTCTGGTTATGTCCAAAGAAGAAGCCCAGGAAAAGCATTTCCAGGTAGATGACCTGGCTGGGAGCAGGATGAGCATCTTGCTGGTCCTGCTCCAAGTCCCATGTGCAGCGTGGATGGCCACTGGCTGACATTCCCGATTTTTCTGCTGACTGTTAGCGTGCTGTGAGGTGGCCACTCAATGGTGGCCTTGGGAGAGGGGATGATAGACTGCTGATTTAGTAATGGAAGAGCTGGGGGAGAGGAAGAGCCTTACTTACTTTGGCCTCAGATACGGGTGAGACCTGGGGAGCCTTTTACAACAACAAAGTTGAAAGAACAAATGCCTCACAGAACAGTTTTAATGTAGGTTTAGCTCTTTTTTTTTTTCCAGTAACAACCATAAAGAAAATACACTTTGCAAGCAAAATATTTTTTTCACATTCTTCCCCTTAGTTTTCATCCTTCATGTGGTGGTGGCAGACCACAGAGCTGCAGTCAGGGAGGCAAAGTCCATGCTGGTATCTGCTCTGAAGATATTCAGATACTACAGATGATGTAGTAATTTCACTAGAAGTGATGCACCTTCCTGCTCAGCTCTGTAATTCAGGTGGATACCCACTGGAGAAGGATTTCCATTAGGATGGGCTGCCACAGAGGCAGGGTGAGTCTGCAGGATGCTTTAGCCATGTTCCTACCCTAATTACCCCCAGTTTTTCCCTCCCTGTCAGATCTGGAGCGAGAGAAATGCCTGACCAGGAAAAAATATTTCACATAATTTTCTTG